GTAAACTGCCATTAAACGAACAGAAGAAGAAGAAAACATCTGCACATGCGCGGTACGGATCGGGGAGTCCCGATCCGTAACTATCTTTTTAATTTTGTCTACATTGTACTGAAATGCTTCATTATTGGAAACATTTTAAGCGATACTTATTATTCTTAACATCTTAACAGATACTCTGACCCGTAACTATCGTAAAACGCTTCGACCGGAAGTAGACACCTTTCGCGCATCGGGTTTCCGGTACAGATCGGGTAGTGACAGCATCACCATATTGGAATCCAGCATTCTCTGATGAGGCTAACCAGAACGCCGTTTACTCGAGTGTGACATTATTCCCAGGTCCGTGTTCCGATTTCTGAAATAAGTCGAACGCAACACATGAAGTAACGAATAACAAGCCTTTCTAAATCCCAGTAACGATAAACGTGTTCCTGATTTTTGCTTAATAACTATTTACCTTCTTGTTACCACAATAATAACGTAGTTACTGTTACTTAATATGAGCCAGAGAGGTTTTTAAGATTTCCATTATTCATGTGTCTGACGTGCCTGATCGTCGAGTTCAGTCATGAAAAAAGGCTTCAGAACCAGTTTGGAGTGAATCTGAAAGTTTTCTCGTCCACTGAGATGAAATCAACTGAAATAATCGACTAATTTCTTCCAGCGGGCCTTAACCAGCAACACAAGTTGTCATCTTAACGTTACTGCATTGCTTCATCTTCTCATAATGGTTACAATGTTTCTTCCCTCGCTGCCTCACTGCCACCGCCCCACAGTTGCTGCCCGACTCGGTGTTATCCAGCACGTCTGCCCTCTGTGCTGTAACTAACACGTAACAAAAAGCTTTCACCTCGACTAACTGCAGAGGAACCGTCGGGTAGTAACGAGCTGGGCAGCCAGGAGTGAAGGGAGCCTGAAGGGCTGATGCTGCAGAAGCTGTCAGAGTTCTATTTTGGGACGCTGGCTGTGCAGTAGGTGTGGTGGTAGTCGTGGTAATGAGGCTGCAGAGCGAGCTGATATCTCTTACATACATAGCCACCGAGAGTGTAATCTCATTTCGTGTTTTGAGCAGCACTCGGCCACACGCCGTTCTAACTTCGGCCACGTTTAATAAGTTGTGAGCTTAACGTGTGCAATTTGCCTGCGACGTTACAAATGTGGAAAGCGTGCAGAGCTGCCTGTGTGCGATATACTTTTGCGAGGCTGCATCTCGTTTTTATACGCGCCCGTTCCGAGTCGCTTCAGAGGCCACGCAGCTGTTCAGACGCGTGTCATACACACTGTAGGTGTGCCGTCACTGAAAACACACAAGTTTAAACAAACCATCCACTTCTTCTGTGCCCGTTCACACTGTTCCTGTACCTGAATGGATTATTCAGTGAAAATGGAAATGTGGCTCAGATAACTAGGCCATGCTATTCACAGCTGCGTTTCATCTGGGAAATTACCAATACTACCAATAAGTATAATAATGATTAAACGATATCGTGGTCTCTGCCTCTCATTGTGTCTGCTTCACTCCCCTTTATTTCCCCCCTCGCTTGTGTGTGCGCTCTACCTGTCGACACAGCCTCTTTCCCAGCTTCTCTCCCCTCTGTGTGTGCTGCCTTTGCTTCTCCTCTGATCCCCCAGTCTTTTTAATACATATTTAATGCCGTAATGATTATATGCTATTCCATCTGCGGGCATCCCTACTGTAGTGCGAAAAATCAATGGCTTTTCCTCTGCTAATGATGCCAGGAAACATCTTCCTCCATTTTTCTGGGCGAAAAAGGACCTTGTGGGGACTCTGAACATTTAGATCGCACAGTAAACCCGAGGCCCTCTTTTCCCCTTTACGA